CGCACGGCAAGGATCCCAGAAGAAACGTCCGTACCTTAACCCACCCACCATGTGCTTGGAACCCCCTCAGGCTTCTGGCTTTTTCTCCCTTCCTTTCAAGCCTCATCTTTACTCCGGTGTCCTCAGTCACACTTGCTCTCTCACCCGATTTCTTTCTGCCCCCCCCCCTCCCACTCCTACTCGTCATAATTCCACCACCTCTGTCCACTTCCCTCCCTGATCACTTTATTTTCCTTCTTTCTTTGCCGTCCCCCCTAACTTCTAACCCCATAGTCCCATAACTTACTCTCGTTTCTTTCTTCCTCTCTTCTGACCCCCCCTCCTCACCCACTCTACCTTTTTCCCCCCACAAGCTTCATTCATCCATCACCCCCTACATTTATGTTCCCCTGTCACTCTGTCACCTGTCTTTCATTGCACCATTCTCTCTATCTTCCCTCCTCGATCCACCTTACGCTCCCCCTTCTTCCCTCCCCCTCCATCTCTCCTTCCTCCACTCCCTTCCCCTTCCTTCCCTCCCCCGACCATGTTCGACTACCCATCCCAATACTTCCGTCACACCCCCCCCACATTACATTTTGCTTCCACTCCTTCTACCCGGTCTCCACCTCATTTCATCTTTTTTCCTCTCTCCCTCCACTTCTTTCCCAATTTTCCCTTCCTTCTCCCTCCTTTCATTGTTTGTCCTTTATCCCCTTCCTCCTCCCACCTTTCCCTCTCCCCCCATTCCGCTCGTCCCTCCCCGCCTCCCTTTTTTCACCCTTTCTAACTTACTCTTCCCTCTTCTCCTCTTACTCTCCCCCTACACTCTCCCCCCTTTTCTTTTTCTCTTTACCTCCTCCCGCACATCCGCCCCTCCTCTCATCTTCCACTTTCAGACCTTCCCTTTTTGTCCTCCTACCTCCCTTTCCCCCCTTAATTATACCCTCTTTTCCCTCTTCACATCTCCTTCCCTCGGTGCCCTTTACATTCACCGACTTTCCATGCTCTTTCTTCCCCCAAACCGTACGCCCACCACCCTTCTGCTCTTAGTCCCCCTCTTTCCGTCCTCCCAGCCCGCCCCTCTTGCCAGCCCTGCCTTTTTTTCCTTGTCCCTCATGGCCCTCTTCCTTCTCCCTTTTTTCCTCCCTTTTCCCATCCTCCTTACCTTCCTTCCCTCCCCTCCCATGACTCTGTCTCTCTTCCCCTCCCCCCTCATTCCGTCGCCTTCCCCCACGGGCTCTCTCCCCCCCTACCCCCTTCCTTCCTATTGGTTCCCATTCATTTTGCTTCTCTTTTGTCATATTCCTTCTTCTCCTTCTTCCCTTCATCCCTCATCTCTCACCTTTACCTTTCTATTTTTCCTCCCCTCCCTTCTCTACCCATTTTCCCTCCTCTCCTACACTCTTTTTCCTTCTCTTCCTCTTTTTCTTGCTTCCCTTTCTCTCCCCTTTCTTCTCCTTTTTTCCTTTCCCCTCTTTCTCCCCCTCCTCCCCTTCCTCCCACTCCTTTTCCCCTTTTTCCCTCCAACGCCGTTCCCCCACTCCCACCACCCCCTTTCGCCTCTTTCCTCTCTCCCTCCCCCTCCCTCTTTTATTCTCTCTCCCACCCACCATAACTGATCTTACTTCCCTCATATTCTCTCTACCTCTTTCCATTTTTTTCGTTATCCTCTCCTCTCTCAACTTTTTTTTTTCTCTCTTTTCACTTCTTTCTTCCCACTGTTTCCCCTTCTTTCTTCATTTTCTTCTTTTACCCTCTTTCCCTTCCAACTCCTTCTTCCTCCCTTTTGTCTCTCCTTTCCCCTCCAGCAATCTTGTCCTACATCCTTCAACTCCTTCTTCTCTTCTTTCCCACTTTCTCTTCTTTTCCTCAACATCTCCAGTGTTCCCTTCTCTATTCTTTATATACTTTCCTAATTTTCTCCTCCTTCCTCCTCCGCGGTGCTTCCGTCCCTTACTTTTTCCATCTTCCTTATTTTCTTTACTTTTTTTTTTCGCTTTTTTTTTCCTGTCTCACTCCTAGGGTTCTGGACTATCTGAATCTTATGTAGCGGAGACGGAAGTTCGTAGGCTGTTACAAGGGCTGAACCCTTCTAAGGCCTCTGGGCCTGATTTACTTCACCCAAGTCTGTTGCAAGAGTTGGCTGCGGAACTAGGTGGACCGCTCGCTATGGTGTTTCAGAAATCGCCTGACAGCTGTACGTTACTTTCCGCATGGAAGGAGGATGTCATCGGTCCCATCTTCAAAAATGGGGACAGGAGTCTGCCTGCAAATTGCAGGCCAGTTACTCTGACGGATGTAGTAGTCACTCCTCAAGAAACTGGTGAGAGATTCGTTTGAGAGTCATCTGAGAAGCTTTAATCTACTTAGCAATGTACAACCTGGATTCGTGTCTGACGAATCTACTGGTGGCTCGTGAAAGTTGGGCGGAGGCAGTGGATAACGGCCACACACTGGACCTGCTTTTCGAAGGCATTTGACAAGGTACCTCATTTGAGGCTCGCGCAAACGCTGACCTTCGGGGTATCTGGCCGCACCCTTCATTGGGTGACTGCCTTCTTGGATGGTAGTTAACATTGTGTACGGGTAGGCCGGGGCCTGTCGTTTAGGCAGTCTATCTTCGGTGGCGTGCCGCAGGGTTCGGTCCTTGGATCGCTGCTGTCCTCTATCTATGTGAATGACCTACCCGTGAAGCTTGAGGTACCATCACTGCTGTTTGCTGATGACCTGAAGCTGTGGAACATTGTCGATGTTCCTGGGGGTTCCGAAGCTATTCAGCAAGCACTAGATAAGTTATGGGACTGGTCTACTTTATGGTTACTGCCCATAAATCAGGCAAAGTGCTCCGTTCTTCGAATTGGAAGAGGTTGTACTTCTGCGAGATGCTTGGTCGGTGGGGTCGAACTCCCTCGTGTATCTAGCCATGTTGACCTAGGCGTCGTACACTCTTCGGCTTTACAGTCCGGCGACAACGCCCTAAGCCGAGGTTTCCGCATGTTGTGGTTATTACGACGTTCTTTCGGGATCTTGCCGTGCGGCACCTTTACGAGACTGTTCTCTGCTTTCGTCCGGCCTCAGCTGGACCACTGCATCAAGGCTTGTCCACCCTGCATCGTGCGGGACAAAATGGAGCTACAGTGGCTTAGACTGGTGGGTGCTAGTTTGGTTGAGGGATTACGGGGGCGGACATATCCCGAGCGTCTACTTAGTTTGGGAATGCATTAAATGCACTACCGACGGCTTAGAGGAGACCTACTCCTAACCTGCTTTATCTTAACTGGAAAGGTTGATCCAGATTTATCCTGGCTTTTCAGTCCCGATAGAGTTTCTGTTCCTCGCGGTCATTCGTTGAAGCTGGACACGCTGCGGTCCGATCGGATTCGGGCGGAAATCCGGCTGTCATGCAGAGTTATCGGGCTTTGAAACATTCTTCCGGATAGTGTTACCAGGGCATCTACGGTTAAGGGGTTTAAGCGGCAACTTGACGCTCGTGGGCGGCAACACGAAACCTTTAACTTGCATCTTCATACTTCGATTTTCTTTTCTCTAGTTTTCTTCACGCAGTGGTATTATTTGCTCATTTCAAGTGCACTTCCTTATTCTGCACCTTCGATTTCTCTTCCTATCCTTTGCTTGCTTCACGTGACTGCCACAGCAAGGACTGCTAGGGCAGGAAACATGGGCCTTAACTGGTTGGCCAGGGTGCGATACGGGTGTTCCGTTTTAGATCCATCAATAACTGATCACTTCAACAATTCCTGGATCAACGATCCACTCAAAATGGAACATTCACGGGATTTTCCTATCGTTCCAGTCCCAACCAACCTTGAACTTACTCCACTTTCCCTTTCTCCCTATTTCGCCGTGCTTATTCTTTCCCAGCTGCTTAACCCAAAAAGTCGTTACCCATTTCCCACTTGCTTACGTCTTCTATATTGATTCCATTTGCTTCTCGACTACATTTATCTCCCACTATATCGATGACTTCTAAAACACTGGCCGCTAAGCAGCAAGGTTCAACCACGAACTCAGTGTTACTAATCCGGCGAACATTAAGGGGCTCTGGTAATGTTGTGTAGGTGGATCAACTTGCTTCCTTTTCTCTGGTATCGCCAACCTCGATGCTGAACAACTCGGCCACAAATGCGCTGCTACCAAATAACGAGGTTTCAAAGTTTTCTTAAAAAGCGGTAGAAGTACATAAAAGTAAGGAAACACTTAAAGTTCACAAAGATAGTTTGGCTTCTACTAACAGTCCTACAGCAGTATACAACCCTATTGATCTGCTTGAAAAGTACGTCAAATCCATCAATGCAAAGCTCTCGGCAATGGACGACTTCTGTAACCATCTGCCTCCCTTCTCCTACTTGTGTAATATGCTTGTTAAGCCTAACATAGAGTACTTGCACAAGGCTTCATATTTCATCTCCGCGGTTGCATCAGAAGCTTGTGGAGGCACAGGCCGTCAGAAGACTGTAGTGGCGTTCAAGCTGCCTGGTAAGATCAAAATCGAAACCGTCGAAAAGATTGTGCTTTAAGCCAGCAAATTGCGCTCCACGCGTTGTACATCCTTTCGCTTCAAGAAAAACTCGACGAAGAGTTGCTGCTCTGCCTTGTTCAAGCTCTCTGACGTAGCAGATGCCGAAGAGATCATTTACTCTTAAAGTCTTGTAGCCGCAAGACCCGGTTTCTAAAGGATAGTTCTTAAACACGATGAGCCTACACTCTAGAGGGAAGTGGTTCGAAGTAGACCATCTCTGGTAGGCCCGAAAGAACATACACCTGTAAATATACACCGCTACCTAAGCCTAGATGCCGAAGTGGACCTTGAAAAAATCCACTCCAATGTACCACCCAACTTGGGTGTTGCACCTATAAAATCGACGCCGTCTATTCAGTCTAAATCAGCTTCCCCAGGAATAGGCAATATGTTAGACACTGACCCAGCTAAAGCTTTGAGTGACATTTCTCCTAATAGTGCTCAGGATCATATTTCATTTGTCCCTACTAACAGTGGCAGTTCAGGCTCCACGAAAGTTGCCCAGTCACTGGGTGGACAGGGTAGCGACAATGCGCTTGTGGATACTATATCTATTGACGCTAAATCACTGTCGGACATAAATTAGCGCAAAATAGACCACAAGCGCTACAATGCAACACGCCGCTTGCTTCCAAGATAGGTAGTAAAAGACTGACAGCCAACTACGCGGTAAGCCTTACACTTCCAAGGCTGCGGTAAAGGTTGTTGCTTCAGAACCAAAATCCCAAGAGATTCATGTAAAAATTGCTATAATCAGAGTTATCAAACAGTTTTCAACAACCTTCCGAAGGATGCCAGATGCAAACCAACTGGTATCTCTACCCAACTCATTTACAAATGGTTTGGCCGCTTCTCCCAAGATCTGGGGCTCGTGATCTCCCAACTTATTGTACACCCTTTCCTTTGCCTCTCCTTCCGTTCTCCATGGGCACAGATGCTTATCTTTATCATGATGGTAACTACAGGAGCAAAATTGCACTCCTCATGGAATCTCTCTCACAACCCGTATCACATTTTGAGCTTCCACTCATTCATGTAGTCGACCATCACAATATGTTTCTACCGTTGGCGAACTACTAAAACATGCGGCTGACATGCAATTGTCATTTTGGGAACCCGGCGCCTCACCGGGTGCTCTCCCTACCTCTCTACCTCCCGACACATATTCACCAGTTATTGTAGATGCAGAATGCATCACATGCTTCTTCAGCTCTGTACATTGCCTTAGACCTCTTCACTGATGTATACTAAGCCCAGTTCCCATTCCCGACTATGCTTCATCATCCGTGGACTACACCACGGTCTCTATAAACCACACACCAAACATTGGCTCAGGGTCTCATAGGTCCTTTGATACGGGAAACGATTAATACAGCCAAAATAATTGTGGCATTGCCTCTAAACAATCTTCAGAAACTACAGTATTAGATAATTCTAGACCTAACTGGCTGAGTTGAGGCACCAAGCCTTCTATCCCAAAAGGATGTAGTTAACCTTCTTTTAACGAATG